CCTTGCGTAGATAACTCATATTATATTGAGGTGAAACGCTATACCATACGTACCTATACAGTATACCACTAGAATGGTGGCATTGTCATATAGTTTTTTATTAATTTTTTTTACGATCTAATTTAGGATATTTATTTACTAAAATTAATTTAGAAGAAGATTAAAGAGAAAACAAAAAACCTTTTCGGCCCGTCGGATATCTCTACGCATATTACTATTATCTGTTACGAAATTTTTCACTATAAATTTTGACTGATTATACATTATTGTTCAGAATATTTATATAACTTTTGCTGTCACTGCTAGCTGTTGATACGTGTTATTGTTGAGAGAAAGATTTCTCAATCGTCGACCACCAAGAATTCATCTCTACCTTAGTTAACTATATTTATTATTATATTATTATTTATAATTTATATAATTACGACAACATCAATGTTTACAGAAACGGCTGAGATCGCAACAGCAACAACAACAACAACCATAACCGTAACAACAGGGACAAAACATCATTAGGCAATAGCAACATGTCCTTCAATCTACTATCAACTCCTCGGTGTGATTACATTCATCATTATAGCTACTACTACTACTACTACTGCTTCGTTGCTCTAGCTATCTTCATATGCAGTACAGTCCGCCTGGCTTTTCTACTACATCCTCACTTCACCTCTCGCCATTTTTATTTTTTCAATGAAAAGTGCATCCCTTTGCTCGTGACTGGTTCTGCCGTCTGATCTATTCGGAATCGTTCGTTTCGTCGTATTCCTTTTCATAGGGAATCTTTTTCTTACTGTTCGATGTCCAAGTACACAGACAGCGGAGCTGATAATATTAATTAGCGCCATCAGTGTGGTCACTTGAAAAAGCATACAATGTCACAATCGCAATAAAGAAAGCTTGCATTGGTCACTTGGCATCATCCAAATGGCCTATACGAGTGCGCCTCCAGCGATCGTTACTGATTCAATCAGATGAGTTACGAGATGCGAGGGTTTGTCATCGGCTTTTTGAACGGCGTAGTAGCCTGTCTAGGTCAAGGTCCCTTCTTTCTGCTTAGCCTTATTTTGTCCATCTCTTTACGAACTAGTACGCCGCTTGCCCCAGCCGTAAAAATGATCGATTTAACCTTTGAGGGATGCCACTCTATGCTTCATTTTAGTCTCGTCTAGTTCTGCTCTCAGCCAAAACGTGTCGGTCAAGTCAGACACACGCTTGATTTACCTCCGCAAGGCTCCTTCTCCCGGCTTCCACGCCATAGTTCCCAACAGTCCTAACAGATCAGCCAGAAAGAAGAACTGGCAGTTCGCAATCCATTCACGGCCAGCCATTATCTACCAGTCAAATAGATGCGATGTATAAAGAGAATTTTGACGTGTCAATTTTCGTTCAATCCTCTTTCCTATCATCTTCCTAGATCTTCTTTGGTTCGCGTACCGTGTTTACCTAGAGGGCTCGAACGAACGGGCCAACTCTAACAGAACTAGTTTGAAGGCTAGAACACGTAAGCGAGAAACGCGTAGATGCTTAGACCGCCAGTTAGTGGCCGCCGTTGCTCTGGTCGCCATAAATGGGGGACGCGCCATTGTTTCTAGAACAGCTAGTAACGTGAGTGATCCATGGCATGTGTTACAGTCAACGTTCTTTTGTGCCGATGGCAAAAAACAAACTTACCGGAAAAAAATAGTCATATTAGGGCCTGTGCCCACCTGCTCCTTAACACTAGTTTTAAACTGGCCAGTTTCTTTTGTTAAGTGAAATTAGCTATAAAAGTTAAATGTTGTGCATGTCGTATATAATCTCGTATCTGAGTTGGCAGCACATATTTTTGTTTACCATTCCAGATTACGTACATGATTTGTAGATGTTCTCAATACGAACTTTATAGATCAGTATTATTCTTAAGTGACCGCAGTAAAAAAGTGGAAAGAATCATGAGCAAAGCTGTTGCACAGAATTTGTGCTAAATGGTTTTAGCCCTTATAAGAGATCCTTTTTGATGCAGTCTTTAAAGTTACTCTTCTTCGTGGTTTCAGACAAAGTTTTAAGAGTTTCAGACGAAGTTTTATGAGTGACAGATAGATGACTGTCAATACATCCGGTTTCGTCAAATTAAAATTTGACATTTTGAGACTAAAATAAAGGGAAACATTTCATTGGAACCCTTGCCTCTGCCTGTTTACATTAATTATCATTGCTTCAAACGACCTTTCATTAGAATCTGAACATGTTTTGTGACTTGACTCTAGAGGCCTAAACAGGGCTATGATCTATGATCTAGATTTACAAGCTTTTTCCGAAAAGAAAAGCTCTTTTATTATCCACAGTTTCCTTCTCATTTATGTTTATTTAATGTCTATTTTATGTTAATTTTGTTTTATTTTTAAATTTATGTCACATTAATTTGCACTGGATAAACAGTTGTCTGATATATTCTGTTTCTACTAAGCTATCTATGTAGTGCTAATCACAAGATATATTTCGCTAAATTATTTTTGCTCTTAGTAAAAATGGGTCCCTTTGTCCCTGAGGTTCTTAACAAAAAAAAGAGCAAAGAAAGAAAATACCAGCTACGATCCATCTGCTATTCTCAACCGAACCAAAAATAGCCTTCGGAATACTGAGCAGGACTGGCAGCTGCAAGAACGGTAGACAATAAAACAGTTGTGTCCGTTCATATTTAGTGATTTAGAAATCTTTAGCCAGCAAATGCTGATCAGTCAGTAGAATGCAACAAAGCCGAAATGCGTCATGAACAGTGAACTAACTTCAGAGAATGTGGCGTCGGGTTCCCGCTGAACTCCGCTGACTTACCCAACGGATCACCTTACGGATCATCTCTTTTTTTTTCTAAACGAACAAATAATCACCAACCCTCTTCTAAAGCTTCGGATTCATGCACGCCTTATCATAAGATCTCAATTATTCACTTAATCAAAACAAGATGGCGGTTATTGATAGAATACGCTTTCGATTCTGACTAAGTGTAAGGGTGTACGTATGTTTCCTCCGCCCTTAACTGCGCCTTGCTCTACTGCCCTTCCGTGTTAATACCATACGCGCCTCTAGAGAAGGACACACTCAGGGGAATCGTGACCGCCTGATGCCGCCTAGGCTGACAGAAATGATCAAGGTCATCTGTTATCACGCGACTGTCCACGTAGCTACAACTGCATGCCGTCATGGGGCAAAGCCCTTGAGTGCTGTTATTCCCATCGAAACCCATCGGTTGTGTCAGTACAGCGGAACCAGAGGGTAGGAAAGAAGTGATCAGTCGTGATGGATACTGCTATAGAAAATGTGTTATTTAAGGATGCTACATTATTGTAAATGTGTACGCATCAGATAAAAAAGAAATTCGATGTAGTTCCGGATCAACCTGGTTATGAGAGAATGTCACCTGTAATAGGAACACTAAGCGGTGGCGTGTGACATTCGAATGAAAACGGATCTCATCTGAAGTATAGACACGAAGGTTTGGGCACGCCTTTTGAAAGCCTAAAAGTTATTTTTCTAATTTAGGTCAGCTATTTCTACTATTATGGTTGTCCAACCGGGCTCACTAAAAGCAAATAAATAAAATTAACCTTGACAAACATATTCTAAACATAAATTCTTTAAATCTACAACTCGAATGATAATGTTGAAAAATGACTATATTCTTCGCCAATCACCGCACCTATGTTTTTTAGTGCTATTCTGCCTTTAGAGGCAATGCATCAACCAGGATCGTCTTCGCTGCCTAGGACCACACTGAGTTACGCTGTGTAGGTATACTTTCGCAGTGCTCACGCTACTGGTGTATCCGGTCAAATGGTGTCAACATGGACAAACTGAGCGCGGCATCTTGAAACACCATATGGGCTCTTGGCGAATCTCTAGACGACTAGCTTCGATAATCATTTGCATGATAGCAATGGGTTTGAACAACAGAACATCGTCCGAGAAAGCGACCGATGGACGATGTCCCATCCAAGCATGTCTGTACCCCGTTTTTTCACTTAAAACTTTCCGGAAGCGTATTCCTCATGCATTCGTACTTGTTAACCGTGTATTTAAGCACTCTATCACGCTTCGGCTCTTAGGTCTTAGTTACCCCGATCGATAGAGAAAAAGGTTCGCTGGCATTTGTGTGGACCAGTGTATGGGACGACTCACTGGCCGTAGAAGTACCAAACAAAATGTAGAGTAGACATTATGGACACAGACCAAAGCTGATACCCAAATGTAGACCATATCGTTTTGCTAACGACAATGTGTAACTAACTAACGAAAATGATTACCACGAGTCCGTTTTATTTCCAAGGATGTGGAGCCCAACTTCTAGAAAATATTGTGAGTTTGGACGCCGTACGTACGGCAGGTCAGGAGCCCTAGTAAAATTGAATTAACCCAACCGAACTGTAATTTACGCTGTTTAGCGTTTGTGTGCATGGGAAAGCTACTTGAGTATTTCTTATACAGTGCATGTGTTTCGCAATCTCTTTAGTCGTCTGTGTACCTCAAATTGATAAACCAAGAAAAACACCATCAGACAAACACAGTTCAATGAATACTGTCAACTAAGCATTGCCGAAACCAAAACAATCGTTCCTATAGTAACAGAGCTTGAAATGCGAGTTGCTATTTGAAGACGATAAAAGAAAATTCAGGTTTAAAGCTCATCGCCTAATTCGTTCCACCGTTCAGTGGCTATCGTCGTACTCGTTGTTACACCCGATCTTCGTTGCTATTGGCATCTGCCTTTTCAAAAAATGTCGTATTCCCTTTCAGCTGCCTTTGAAACCCTCTCCTAGCGCTGCGCAAACGCTTACCTTTAACCTTCATCGTGGTTTTTGTTCCTTCTTTCTATCGGGGGCCGGTTCCTCCCTTTCCCTTAGTCCCGTGGATGACTTATCCAAGCGTCCTATCCGCGCGGCCATAGGAATCGCGAATTCTGCGTTATATTCAAGTATTCGACACCGTACGATGAAGTTCATCTTGCTAAGAGACATATACTTTCTGTTCCCTAGTTAAACTAGCGGTACCGCGATGTACTTGATGAACAAAAAATAATGCACACCGATGGCAATGAATTGTATTCACTCGATGCCCAGAAGACAGACGTGACAATCAGCCGGTCATTCAGTTAATTTTATCCCAGGATAGATGTATACCGACAAGGCAGTGTTTAGCAAGCCTTACGATTACAGCCATAGGATTCGCTTGGTCCCCTCACTACGCTCGTAAGCTAATTAGAAAAACCGTAGCAATGTATTTGAAGTGGGTGAGATAGATGCAAAAGTACCGATCATAGCTCGAACGATGGTAGATGTAGCGTGTACCGTTTATCTACACGTCAGTGAATCATGTTTCTGTTTGAGAGGTTTCGGAGGAATATAGTTTGTGCTTTGTTTATTTGGCTACGATCTCGACGGAGCCATCGCGTTCATTTCTGGCGACATAAAAAGGTTGGTACTTTTTTTTCAATCGAAACCAACGGCAGCGACGAAACATACCATCTTTTTTTTTATTGGCGGGTATATATGCACGTACACACTTGTTGGCGAGCAGCATAACAGCTTGAAAACAAATAACATAACGAATGTCAACAATATAAGTAGCATATTTATTTTCTTGACGCATTTACATTCTCGACTTCTAACGACGATACCGTTTGACGCTAGCTTCCGAAAACGACCTTCCGACGGAGTGAAATGCCCCTGTCGCATAACGATCATCTTGATAAAGCTTGCCGCCACTGAAGAGGACGAAACGTGCCGCTGGCTTGGTCTGCTGTTAAGGTGCCCTCGTACTTAGCGACTTGTAGTTACGAATTGGAAATAGTTCGGGATTTGTCGAACCGGTCATATTACGGCCAATGTTGAGCGTCGGCATTAGTCAGACAAGAGAGAAAAACTGAGGGGAAACAACGCTAGTGTAAAAATGAAGCTAGATCTGGCTGCTGATAACGTCAGACTACGCGCTCGCAATAAAAGCAGTCATTTTGGTGAAAGGACTCTTTACATCGCAATAATCTTCGACATGTATACATATCCATCAAAATCCATAATATATCATTAATGAAAGCCGCTCGTTCCCCGTGCGATTCATTCACATATCTCAGACATACCAACTATTAAATTATCTTAATTCCCAATTATATTATTATATGTAATTATATCTCTATGTTCATCGGTTTTCGCCTGCCAGAAAAGTGAAGCGGGAAGTGTGGAGTTGTAGGGACTGCGACTTTTCTGATTATCGCTTAGTTTTACGGGTCGTACAGTCTAATTACGTTTCTATTATATTTTAACGGTATAATAGATGCTACAATGTTGTACCTTCCAAGTATAATATAATAATCAATTTGGCATATATCTGTATTTCGCTAGCAATATTAACTACTTGATGTTAGAGTACTGAATACGAAAAGATTCAGACTGTTTTATTAGCTGAACGCCAGCACTGGGCACAGACCGCAGCGAAAGAGCTGTCGGAACTACTTAAAACGGCGTAAACCTATATCAGTCGAAGGTGATGGTGATTTTTATTCTGACTCTCTAGCCTATCAGATAGTTTCTCTCTGTTTTTTGTGTCAGATAAGTTAATTGATACGAATGTGGACATCATCGGTTCGCTATATATTGGAAAACGAGGAAACAAAAGACCCTGCATAAAGCTAACTTCAACTGGCACTCTATTGTCAATAACGTTTTCTATTCTGAATTGCAGTTTTGACGTATTGTTACTATGAATAGTTGCTATTTACTCTGAAAAATAGGCACATACATATAAAAATTGTAAGTAGGTATGAAACTTGTCCTAACTGCCTGAGGAACCCAGTTGTTGTTGTTGTTGTAGCTCTTTCAGCGGCCCATGAAAGCCAGCAACACCTAACAACAGTAGTAATATGCTATATGCTCTGACCAAAATGCACGCTAATCGACTAACACACAAGTTTGTTCTGATGAGTCCTAATACTGGCCATGTCGTTGGATTAAATATAACAAATACTCAACTCAACTTTGAATAGTTTTCCTGTACTAATTAATAGATTTATGCGCTCGGCGCTAGATTTCGTAGAGCGAACTTCAACAGAACGAAAGTTAATTGACAAGTAAAGTTCTGTTGTAGGTATGATTAAGTTTTTTTAAATTGTCAAGAATGATGTCGTTGAAGAAACACGCCTGAAGCATTGCAGCACACCGACTGAGCTACAGCACATTGGACCTATTTGTGTACGATTTTGAGGCTTGTCCTCTTTGTAGGTTGTTACTGTCCGTTTCGTTGACGACTCAAAAAGTCGACACCTCATAAGAACTGCTATCTAGGAATAATCTAATGATAATTACAATTAGGCAGCCTAAACCACTTTTTCAGATGAACACTTTCACATGTGTTTCAGTCATTGCTGATTTGGCTAACTCCTTCCTCTTGAAACGTTTTACAAGCAATAATCTTTATATATGTCTCCTATCCGAAATCGGCAGTTTATGGTTCTTTTGGCTGGCAGTTAGCAAGCGACGCACCCATACAAACTGGTTCATTTGTGTGAAAATCTGATTATCGTTGAATATTGGATGAAGCAAATACTCGAACGCTTAATAAACATTTCGTGAGAACCTTGAATTACTTCCAGTTTCCTTAATGAGTGACTTACGTATTGGCTTAACTGACCTCGTGTGAGTGATCTCATCTTTCCAGATATAGGCGTCAAGATGGTTCCGCCCTTGAAGATGGAACAGCCCTATCTTTAGTATGTTCCTTGCCAAGCTTATTTTCTTCTTTCTAGTGAATTACGAGAAAAAATGAATAAATGGACCAAGCATTTGTGTATGCTTTCCTTCACGGATAACAACATGATTGGTGTCTCTTTGGTTAAGTTAATATCCCTAGTTAAAGTCCCCTTTATCAATTCCTCGCGGTGAAAAATGTAAATGTAACTGTTTGTTTATTGCATAAATCCCTGGCCAAACAATCTGTTTTCTAATGTTTGATAATGTCAAGCCACCAAACAATAGTACAAAGCCTATCTATGGGATATCAACGCGCAGATTTTATAATATCTCCTTTAAATAGTGGTCAAACTGAGAGATTTTAAATACTTTAGCTTTTGTTTAATTCAGCACTTTTGTATAGTTGTTGCGGACGAAACGAAGGAAAAAGTCCTGCTAGTTTTGAACGACAGTGTGTTTCCATATGTTTCAATCACAAATGATCAATGGAAAGCTCTACTTTCGTTATTATGAACAGGACGCGTAACTAATTATGAGAATCTGTAGTATGGTTTTTTCAGATCCTCTTGTCTGCGAAACAGCTGCATCCCCATCTAGGCCTTTTAGTGTGCGACAGTAGCCCATGAAATAAGTACCGAACAGTATAGAGAGGAAACTTCCTTTTTTAAAGACCGACAGAATCAATCGGGTCGCAGATGTTCCAGAGATGCGTTTATCAGGCCAAATTAACGCGAAAAACTACTAAAAAAAAAGGACAACATTCACATTATGATAATCTTCGTTCTAGCGGATTGACTACAGTGTGTCATTGTCGGCTAATCCAGCGATAACCATCATTGTAACATCGGACATCGTCCATTCTTGTACCCAATCATATTCATTTTGTTTGGGCCGACTATAGGTCGCCGACTATAAGGAAAAGCTTTAGGCATCGTGATGCGTCACATACGTACGCGTATAATATATGTAAAACAATGGAAGAAAAGAGACCATAAAAAGAAAATTTGAAAGTAATTGCTAATTAATAGGTGTAACAGATGCGTCGTCGTTCGAGCTGTGGTCGGCAAACCTATCAAGCGAACCACAATTGAATAAAATAACGCTGCCTCAATGCTTAGCACCCCTTGAGGGAAAATTGTAGGCCATTTCTAATTCAGTATCTCAATCGTCTGTAGAGTATTCAGCTAACTTACAAACAGGACAACGAAGTGTATTTTAGCACGAACCATGGAATTGACCTAGTATCACGTGTAGAAGGACTGTCACTTGCATTTTTAGCAGTTTGTGTGAATAAAGGAGGGTTTTTTTTTTATGTAAACGGGATGTGGCTCCTGCTACTGGTAAAAACGATATCAGAAATAGGTATTTTGTCATAGACACTAGCATTAGCTAATGAATGGCCATTACAAATAGTACTACGCGTGCTATTTGCTACAGGTGCAACACATACACGAAAACGACACACATTCGTCAGTGTCGGATCAAATTCATATGTTATTAAGTGTGCTTCTGGTGATGGTACTGGGTTCAATGGGCGTCGAAAATAATAGCCATACAGTCCCTATCGTTTGTGCGTACGTTTTTCCTGTTTACGTCACGCAGAGTAAGGTATAGATAAGTTAACTTATTTCATTTTACATGCTTACCTAAATATAGCGTGAACTATTGTCTTTTACCTGTTGCGTAACAATACTGATAAGCCTAGAACTTCATTCAAATAATACTATTGGCATTCTTTCTATTATCACGAATAGTTGTCTTATTTAGAGGATTAGATCTAAACCTGTTGGCTGAAACGATCTAGACTGTTCCTTTCACATATCCATGGCTTTTTTTACATCTTGTTTTCAATATCTCTTCGAATGCTTTTCGCCAGGATTGATACGAAGAGGGACATCGATTGTTTTAATCGGTTCAAACGCTGTCAATATTGATAATAGTAGAATTATGCAGTGATGGCAGTATTTAGTTTTAATTACGTTTCCCGCGGGGTCATGCCAGCCTTTGAAGACGGACTTAACTATTTCAAAGAGTGACCATTTTTTATCGATATTCGTAATATCGCTGAACTCAAGTGGAATTCAAGTGGTCGGTCAGCGAGAGAAATTAGGGTAATTCTACTTGATATCGCTCTGGAGAGCGGTAGTACCGTTCAAGCCCAGTTAGCAAATTAAATTGAGACGAGCACGATAAAATTTCTCGTCATCATAATCAATAAATCATAATAGGAAACCTTCACGTTCACATACGAAACGGCAATAAGCCATCTATAGTATTCATGAGGGGCAAATTCTCATCGGAATTTCAAGATGGCATAAAACACACCAGTAATATATAGGAAAATACACCTACGTATTGCCCCCACACGTATACGCAACGTATCCTAATGAATGACACAGCTATCTGAATAGATGCGGTGTTTTCTTGTGTGCATGATCCATTGTTGATCAGATGAGCTTGAAGATGCTGCCCACAGTTAACTAGCCATACGAATAAGACAACTCAGTAGTAAAGACTACCGCCGTATCAATGCAGACGCCATTGGGATAGAAATCATCGTTCGCTGTCGTTAATTTGCCGTGTTGGCAATTAAGGGGGCTCTTCTTCTATTTAAGTGGGCTAATTACATGTAGCATGGCAAATAGGTTCTTTTCGAAAATCTCGTTCAGGGAGCGGTATAAAATCGAATAATATGGCTCGATATTCAAGCGGTTTGGCTTAATTACTATCTT